CCTTAGAAAATTAATTTCTATGAACGAATGATTTTAACGAAAAAACATTTCCTCCCATTTTTTAAGATTGTTTGGTAAGAGGAAGTTTATCTAAAAAAAGTCATTATTTCTTATAGAGTTTTTTTATATTAGTAGGTTGTTAATAATTGAAAAAACAATGATGTTATGAGATAATTTAAAAATATTATTGACAACATAATTTGTTTTTTAATATACGATCGATACCGAATCTCCCTTATAGAACTCCATTCTCTCGGGTTTGGGGGGAAGGGGGGATCTTTTCTTTGTTCATGAATCTAGAGGACTTAAAAGTGAGTAATAAGAAAACAAACTTTCGTCCAAAGCAAACTAAAGTCATTTTCTTCTTTTTGATCTAAAAAATATTTTTCCTCAATTTTTTTTATCACTTATGCAACCAAATTTAGAAAATTAAAATTATAAATTTTCTTGAAATATATTTTTCTCCCAACCAAATGATACTAAGAATTATATTTTCTCGAAGAAAAATTAGAATTAAAAAATATTCAACCCCGTGTTCAAATGCTAGTTCGAATAAAAAATAAAATTTTATGACATAATCGAAAAATATTTTAGGAAGCATAAGTTTTTTTATACACGATCGATAAGGTACCAAATCACAATTGATTTTTGTTCTCTAGGTATAAATTCCAATTATCTTATTTTAAAGAGGTATGTTAGTAGTATCCCAAACTTTGTATTAGAACTAACATATTAGTGTATCACAAACACATATAGAAACACAGATGCTACTTTCGTTCCTAAACATTTCTCCAGTTTTGACTTTTTTCGGTCAACACTTTTCAACTTTTGATTTTTAATTAAATAAAATATATATTATATATTAATTAGATAGAACAATATTTTGAAAAAAATTTAACATAACAAATTGAATAAAACTATTTTTGTATCAATATATAATATCATTTTTATTAAATTTGAAATCAAAGTGTATCAATTTTGATTGAAAAAAATAAAAAAATGGACAAATATTCAAGAAAAAAAAGAGTCATAATTTTCTGCATGTGTCTAATACACTAATATACAAGTAAGGACTTAAAATTTACTCCCTCCGTCCCCCAGTTTTTGTCCACTTTTGACTTTTGGAACTGTTCATCTAAGCACTTTGACTCATCAAATTCTCTCAATGTGTAAGCTTAAATATAGTCATGTGTGATCTTACTTGATTTGTCTTAACATATAGATTATTAATATATAATTTCTATAATTTTTTAATATACAAACTACAAGATAAAATGGATTAAAGAAGTGAATTGGATGGTGTGCAAAAATGAAAGTGGACAAAAACTGGGGGACGTAGGGAGTATAATTTTTGGATAAAGCTATTTGTACCCCATTTGTACACCGCAGGTTTGCACAAACATTTTGTGTTGGTGTAAAACTAATTTTTGTTAATGCACCAACACTTTGTATCCGTGTAAATTTTTTGTAAACGCACCAACACTTGTGATGGGTGTATTCCACCCAAAACCGGTCAAAAGTAACGTCCAGATATTTGACCGGTCAAAGAAGTTATTCCTGAAAGGGAGACCTGAATCGTCAACTAAAGGATGCTCGATGGACTAAACAATGACCGGTACACGTCGGATAAGTATACCGGTCAAACTACTTCATCGCCTCATTCATTCCTTAAATGCGATGAACTTATCCCTAGGAAAATACCCGGTGTGATTTCTGGGGTTGGGAAGCGTCGGCAGAAGAGAATCCAAAATGATTTGGACCGTAGCGACCAGGATCAATGGAGAATCGCTGGAGATGATGGGACATTCCATCCAAGGCGCTACCTGACAAAGGAAGTAATCTTCCTCAGAAGATGACAAGACAGCTAAAGGACGAAACCCATCACCTCCCACCATCCGAGAACGTGCTTCAACGTGGCTGCATGATACTTTGTCCCCCTTAACTTAGTATAAATACTATTGTAATCCTCAGAATGAGGGATCCGAATTCATTCTCTCAAAACTCCCTTGTAAAAGCACCCGTGCATTCTCTGTTATAATATTAATCGGGCTACAGGTGTTTCCACCTAAAGTCTTCCCGGTCATATTTGTGTGTTTTTACCTTTTTACTTTCCAAATCAAGTAAACAATCCTAGACCCGGTCTGGAATAGTTTACCCGGTTAGGTAATTTACACCATCATTTTTGGCGCCACCCGTGGCACATGGAACAAATAGCCATATTGCTTAATATTGTCTTACCACAAAAATACTAGAGTAAAAGAGAGTGGCTGCTGCATAAATTGCACTTCTTCTCTTGGGGTTCGACAAAATCCATTCAAAAGGAGGAGGATTGAGAAAGAAAAACTAAAAAAGAAGAAGGCTAAAAGAAGAAAAGAAACGACAGAGGAGTCTGTCAGGAGAGATTATACGGTTGTTATCGCCGTAGCATCTAGCCACTGCCGCCATCCTTGGCCGCAGCCCGACTTCCGGCCACTACACCACCACCACGGCTAAGAAGGCAAGTTCCCTCCGCCACTATCTCCGATTCCAACTCCGATCTGGTTTTGAATCTCTACTTCCACCATGTTGCGCCTAGATCCGCCATTGCCGCCGCCATACCGGAGGTTTATAGTCATCGATGGTGCAACCAAACTCACTAGCTCCCCGCAGCAAAAAGCACTATGGTCGTGGTGCACCACTCTAGATTAGAGATTAAGAGTTTGCCACTCCTATGGTTCGTCACCGCCAATGCAATCGGAATATGGGTGCCACTATTCTGCTGAAAATCAGCCCCCTTTTCGGAGTGAAAAAGAGGACCAGATTCAAATTGAAGATGGAGACAAACCAGTACTTCAATTCCCCCTGCCGGTGATCGACCTTCTCTGTGGGCGCTACTACCGGGGATGGACCGGGAGCACAGGTTCGACAACCCGATAGGGGACGAGGCGAGCAAGGCGAAGCTACGGAGACTGGGAAGTTTCTGTTGATTAGATTCAGGAAGGACGACGACGACATACTTGACGAGTTTGAATTGGCTGGAGTTTCCATGCAGATCACGGCAGGATTCTGTGGGAAACAGCTGCGGCAACAGGTTCCCCGTCTAAGAGGGTCCGGCAGTGGCGAATGCAGCACTGAGCGGGGGTAGATCAGAACCGACAGCGGTTCGTGCGGCGGAGCGGGCATGTAACACCCTAATCCGTCCAGGTCTGCAGCTCCTTTCGGACTAAAGTATTAACTTGGTAATCGTAAAATTTAAAACATTTCAAACACTTTTATTTATCACAATAATATTTTCATATTATAAACAGTACGGAGTTTTCAATATTGCGGAAGCTTAACAAATCATAATTACAAACATAATTTATTTATGTTCTTTAATTCAAAACATCACATCCATTCCGACAGTCTCGCCTCCGTCCGCCTCCAGGTTCACGTCACATCATTCTTTCTATTAACCTGCGTGTAGCAAATAAAACATACTACACGCTCAGCGGTAAAGCTGAGTAAGCATATTTAATGTGTCGAACATCCATATAAATTGTATCTCAATTCACAATCAAATCATTTGATATCATGCACATAATGTTCAGTTCAGATATTCAATAACCAATATTCAATTTTCAACATTCATTATTCAATCGTTCAACATGTATGTTCTTCATTTGTCATTCAACAATATCCTTAAACTATTCTTAGTCTAAGGCCAATCATTTTAATATTTGTAACCCTTAAATGAATTTTAGTTTAACTAATTAAACTATATTCCAGTATACAGAGTACTTCTAATAATCCTTAAGCTAGGCCTAGTTTAAGATAAAAGGGTTTTGGGAATCTTAAACTTACCTTCACTTAAGGCCAACCAAAAACCGACAGCGTAGTGTTCACTGTTGGGTGGGTGGTACCCTAAACGAGTAGGTACTCAAGTTTGGTTCGTGGATCCCGTATGTACGTTTTAACCCTAGCCACCGGGCATCATACCCGCAAGGCCTAACTTATATAGGTATATCTTAGAGTTCTTCTAGATACCTTTCAAATCAACATTAATATGGGTATATCTTAGAGGTCTTCTAGATATCCTTGACAATACATATTATTTTCACAATCATCAATATATTCATTATGATTTAATCATTCGTAATTACCATTTTTAATCAAAACATTTATCAAGATTTAATCATCATAATCACCAACCAATAATCATTACCATAATCATCAACATATTCATTTTTAATCAGTAGGTTCATTAATCATAATCATCAATCAACATAACATTTAAAGCAATAACAATTAGCGGTCTAGTTTCAAGTGTTAACACCCGAACTTACTGTCATGCATCACATAACATTTTTATTTGTTAAAAATATCATTTTTATTGTAAAGAATCATCCTTAAAATAATCATAATCAATTGGTATCAAAAATAGGATTTTAGAGCTCAAAAAATAGCAATTTCGGGCAAATTTTCGGATCAGAACTTCGGGGGATCGATCCAGCCCTCTGGATCGATCCATACTATGAAAAATCACTCCCAGGGGATCGATCCAAGCCGCTGGATCGATCCAAGCCCCTGGATCGATCCAGACAGTGGTGTTTCAGCCACTGTTCATCTTCTTCTTCGTTTGGGTCCAATTTCGGAAATATCGTTTTTAGTTATCGAACTTCAACGAAACTATATAGAGATGTTCTCCAAGGTTCATAGATCATTTTGGCATCATTAATTCATAGTTTTAACATCAATTTCATGGTTTATGAATCTTTGGTTCTTCAAGCATGTCAAACACAAAACTCAACCAAACGACCGTTTATGAACGTAGAAATGATCTATACGAACATTCTAGTCACTAGATATATCTACGGGCTTACCTCAAAGCGTAAGGGAGGTTTTGACGATTTTCCGGCGAAACTTCCGGTGACTCTATCTCACTGCTCCGGCGACCTCACACAAAGATGATAGCACCACTGCACTCTACTCTCAGCAAGGAACAATATAGGAGGAAGAATGAATGTTTTTGGTGAGGAATTGAGGGAGTTGAGTTGTGCTTAAATAGGCCAGTGGAGAAGAAGAAGACACAGGCTTGGTTGCTTCCGTGATTGTGCGGCGATTTGCATTTTGGAATCGGCGTAATTGAACAGGGCGCCATTTGGTGTGTAGTCCCTGATTGGGACTAATTTTGGACCCAGTTGGGGTACACTTTTTGGTCCAACTTTCTCCGAATTAAAATCTGTTTGCACCATTGTGATCACACAGTCAAACTCTATTTAATAATATACTTTTTATATTTACTTGTAATACTTTTCCAACATCATATTTTTGGATGTTTGACTTTGACAGAGTCAAAATTGGTTTAATTGACTTTTATCATAAAAGGTTCTCACATTAAATTTATTCTCATGGTTTATTTCAAGAATTCATTTCAAAGTTCATTTAATAAACAAATTCTCTATTTACTCTTAATTTTGGTCTGTACTTAGGTTCTCAATTAAGGTCACACAATAAGTCAACATTTTGGATTTATCTCTATGAGACTAATCCTGATGGTAATATTGTGTATATAAGACACATATTATTTTGGCCTAAAGCCCAACAATAATTTATTTTAATCAAAACAAATTTGATTAATGGAATAATTATCTTATTAATAATTCTAGGGTATGTTTTGGGGCGTTACAGGGCATCGTCGAGCTCCGATGACAAAGTGCCAGAGAAGTCCACCGCATCCGGTGGATCGATATTGCGGCCGCCTACTAAAACAACATCCACTGTCGCCACATGATTCCGCCACCACCGTCTCTCAAATCATCCACCATCACTTTGTCCGCCCTAGATCAGAATCATGCTCCACCGGCTATGGAGCAGCTGATAGGCGATGTTTCTCATACCCAAATCCACAACTGGATGGAGCCGTCGTTGGGATTTGCCTCGCTTGAGACCGTCGTTGCGCTCCAACCTGTTTTTGAAGATTCTAGTGTTTTAGCCATGTGCGAATCCCACGTGCATTAGTTGTCTTTCTGGTCATTCCCCTCTAGCCAGCAGCAACTAGCTGGATTCCACTACCAAAGAAATATCAAACAAAAAAAAGACTGCAATCAAAATCAGTCAGCAAAGATTTGGTTGGAAGCTAGCGGTCAAGCCTCACATGCACAAGCTTGAGAGGATAAATTACAAATGGGGAAGACAAGGAAATATTTTAAAGTGTTCTGCACGGATTGACTCATTCACATGCATGAAAAGGATGGGGCCCAATAATTTCAAATTGTTGGGTGGGCATATTCCATTCACAATTCTCCATGAGCAATTAGACAAAAAAATGGCGAGAAGTCAAAAATCATGATGCCTAGAGATCTCATATCTTTTTCAATCACAAATGATACTCCTTAGTAAAGAGGCTGGGAATGGAGAATAATGGGACTTCATTACAATCTGATCAGTAATGAGATCTTGTTTGAAGACCACGATGGGAACTATAGGAAGACTGAGACATAGGCTTAGACCTGGCACGCTGGTTACTACACCAGTCTTGCTCAGTATAAAATAAAAAAATATAAACCCAGAAGAGGGGTATGCCTGGAAGAGGGCTGGACCTGGAAGAAGGTTCGAACCGTACTTACACGGGCCCATGAAGTTTGACCGGTATCAGGGAATCAGCTGAAACCGTCAAATTGACTAGGGACTAAAAGATGCCCATTAAAAGAAATAGAAGAGGATCGTTCACCGCAATGCATCCTATTCCGACCAGTTCGGATTCCCCCTTCTCAGGGAAAACTTGAACGGGGGGTGAGCTAAGGCCTTCCCGGGATAGTAGAAATCAAAGGGTCATTAAAAGACTTAATCACCCGGAAGAGGGGGCCCTGGAAGAAGGGTGCATTTTGGGCCTTGGAGAGGGCTCTAAACCACCCGACATGGTTAATTCTCCAATGTTGATCTGGCCCGACCAGCACTATTATCTTAGAGGAAGACTGAGACACAGGCCTGGCATGGCACGCTGGTTACTACACCGGTCTTGCTTAAGATAATAAAGAAAATATGTGACCCAGTCGAACTGGTACACTGGTCTCACACCGGTCTTGCACATATTTTCAAATAAGCCTGAGCCCAATCGAATTGGGTACACCGGTTGCACATCAATTTCAGCAAAAAAGTGAGCCGAGCTCATATCGGGGACGCCTGATTCATTTAAGCCCTTGATCTGAGGCACTTTGATCGAAGATGGTCTCCGCGAGACATGAAGATATTTACATCAGTCAGCCGGGCTAACACTGATCTTCAACAAAGCTACTTCATCGGTTACTTATTCGTACTAACATCGATCTCGATGAAATAACTATTTGAGGCACCGTCGCTTCATCATACTAACTCCGATGTCGTATAACTACTCGAAGCATCGTTGCTTAATCGAACTGACATCGCTCTTGTTATGATAGTTATTCACGCGAATTTTTATCACCTAACACCGGGCTCCTCGGTAAAGATAATAATTTTTTGAGCACGGCTTAGGCCGGTCAAAAAAAGAAATGTTGTACATATTATTTTTTGCAGGAAAAACTTCTGATTCAAGAAATTAGAGAATTAATGAAGATTCGGAGGACTAGCAATAATATCAACCGACCAAGAATCCAAAGTACGAAGACTGAAGATAGCACTCGGAGGACTTATTTACTTTTTTAAGTTGATGATTCTCACAACTTAAAAAAGTGGAGGACTTCTTGATGGGAAATAATACGTGGCTCGGCCCATATTTCCCAATTATTTACGAAGAACAGTCAAACCGGGCCTGTTTAATAAAATGGAGGAATAATAGAATATTCCTCCGTAGATGCTCTAGCTACTCCTATAAAAGGAACGCTCCCCCTCAATGTTAAGGGAGGCCAGTTTTTACACTCCCCCCTGCCCACTTCCTTTCTCTCTCTAGAATAGTGTGTATTTTTCTTCTTCTTCAAGAGCTCAAAAGCTCCATTAATGGCTTCCTAGCCTAAATAATGTACCGTGTACAACCCCCGATATGAATAAAAATCCCCTGTTGGCAAGTTACCGCCAAAAAAGGCCCGTGGTTTTCTCCCGATTTGGGTTTCCACGTGAAAATCCTCGTGTTTATATTTTGGTGTATTTTTAGACTAGTTTATCGTTTTTGCCCGGCTAAAAACGATATACTGGTCGATAATTTACACCATCAACTTGTGTCAATGTCAATCATCAAAATGTTTGTGTATAAATATGTATAAATAGGGTACAATTTTTTATATAAGTGTAGCATGATCTAAATTTAGGGGGGTGTATTCAATCAAGGCTCTGTAGGATTTTTTTGGAGTTTAAAAGTTTGTGTGTATTCAATTGAGATTTGAAAAAATCATTTAAAATCTGTAGGTATTCAATGGAGATTTTAAAAAATCTTTCTAAATCTAATGATATTGGAAAATAATAGATTTTGAAAAATTGTTAGAAAATATGGACCGTGAAGGATTTTAGGCTTGAAGTATAAATAAAAATTTTGTTTTCAAATCCAACAAAAAACCTAAGGATTTTGTGTGGACTCCAAATCTGCATATCCTTCTTTCCCTCTTTCTACACGGTTCTTCTTCTTCTCTTCTCAGGCCATCCCCTCCCTCAATCTCCCCCTGCAATCCCCTCCATCAATATCTCATCCTGCATATGCAAAATCCCAAAATCCAAACAAGCAATCCCATAGAAATCCCCAGCGACACCCCATCCCCATCACTGTTCCTTTCCTGCCTTTTTTCTAGAAGATCTGTGGCGTTCCAGCAGCCAAGGGCGGAGGAGTGAAATTCGTCAGTTGGTTTATGTTCGGGAGCCGCAAGACCGGGACTAAAATCGTCGAGATTGGTATAGTAACAGTCTGGCGTCGAGTATTGACTGCGTCGTCGTCCCGAATCTCGCGACGATGGCCGCCGCGGTGTTCCTCAAGACGGTGTAGGTGACCAGGAATTTATTTAAAAAGTGGGATGTTTGATTCAATATGGATAAACAAAAAAGATGAACAAACATAGGTCATAGAACCGAAAATCCATGTAAATCAATACACAAATCTCCTAAAGTATATAAAATTCCATGTAAATCAATAAAAGAGTCTGCCAAACTCTGCATAGAGTCATTGGAATTTCTAAATCCACCGACTTCTTAAAATCCAAAAAAATCTTACAGACTTTTAATTGAATACAACCCCTTAGAATACATATAAGTTTTTCCTTTTTTAAAACAAAAACAAAAAGGGGGTGCTACAAGCCAACGGGAAACCCACCCCATTTGACAACCGTTACGGGTTCAAATCTCCTCCATTTCCCCACTCGCCCCATCTCCAAACGGGGGGAACAAAAACCCCTGCAACCACCGGCAATGAATCTCATCTCCCCCGCGCGTAGCGAACCCTCCAACCAGTCCCGCGAGTGACTGGCGCCTCTCAGTTCATCACGTTCGGCCAAAAATCCGTCCTTGATGACAGACAACCCGCCATTTTCCTCTGCCTCTTTTTCATGCGCATTTAATGAAGCACTGGCGCATACAGTTGGTCGTCGAAAGAGAAGTCCATCCAACTGTAGTCACATTTAATAACTTCTCTCTGATTTGCTGGGAATTTACCTCCGAAGATTACCATTGCGGACCCCGCCGCGGTTTGCTGGCGAATTACCGGGTGGGGTTGGGGTTGGGGTTAGGGTTCGGGGTGGGGATATGAATGCCATAAATGCATGATCATCTACTTCCGTATGGTTGATTTTTCTTGTATATCATCGTGGAAATGTGTTCATATATATATATATATATATATATATATATATATATATATATATATATATATATATATATATATATATATATATGTCTGTGTGTGTAAATGCGTTGATAGGGTTAACAGTTGGTGTGGTATGAGACGACGTATTAGTGGCGTCAATTTCCGGAATCTGAGGCGGAGCTAGCGGGGATGTGGAACTCGGTGGAGAATCTGTCGGTGCGGTCGGCGTCGTTCAGGGAGGAAGGCGACGACGAGGAGGCGCTGCGGTGGGCGGCGCTGGAGAGGCTGCCGACTTACGCGCGCGCGAGGCGGGGGCTGTTCAGGAACATTGTCGGCGATGTGAAGGAGATCGATGTGGACAAGCTTGAGACTGACGAGCGGAAGGTGCTCCTGGACCGGCTGTTCGCCTCTGTGGACGATGACTGGGAGAAGTTCTTCACCCGCATGCGACGCCGTTTCGATAGGTTTGGTCCTCAATTTCAGCTTCCGCTACTTGTGTTTTGGTGCTACTTGAGCTGCTTGATAGTGATAGTGAGTCCAGCTCAGTTCACTGGATGATTTCCTTTTCTTCTTCGCATCCATCAATTTCAATTCTTTTTTTATTGGAATTTAAGAAATGCTGAGTGGTTGGAATTTATCATTAGGATGTTGCGGTTTGAATCCTAGTTCTTGGTGGTAATAAAGAGGCCTAAAATTATGCTTATTCTTTGACCTAGTCGGGATATACTATTTTGGATATTAGATATGTATTTCATGGTTGAGGATATGGCCTGGATTTAAAAAGGGGGACATTTCTACCTTTAACTTAGGTGCCATTTTTTATTAATTTATTTGAGAAAATTAGGAGTAGTTTATATACTCATAATTGATTTAGTTTATTCAACAGATCCTATCATTCCAGCCACACTTTCACTAAATTTGACAGATTTAGCTAATTTCTACATTTGAGGCCTTGCCAAACTGGCTCTTTAGATTGTATCCAAAAATATCAAATATTCTCATTCAGTAGAGAAAGAAAAGAGTGCTGTAGTGTAGGGTGCTGTAGTAGTATTTGACGAGCTCGATCCTTTTAAGTTTTAAAGCTGTTGATAGGATTGTAAATGCCTGTCTGACTACAAGCTCGATCCTTTTAAAGCTGATTATTTGCTTACACAGTAGCTTTCGATGTTGTAAATTGGAGCTGGGAAGTAGCTGGTAGGTGTGATCATTATTGTGTTATAGTAATAATCTTGCATTGCCTATTTGTCTTGTGCTCTTTGTTGTCCTTTTTCCCGGTCATAGATTGTGCAACACTTTTTTTTGTGTGTATGCTATATGTGTGTAGTAATAGGAATCCAAACTGTTTTTGTCTTTAACATCGCAGAGTTGACTTGGACTTTCCAAAGATTGAAGTCAGATTTCAGAACTTGAAAGTTGAAACTTTTGTTCATGTTGGTAGTAGAGCATTACCCACCATTCCAAATTTTGTTATTAATATGACTGAGGTATGATTTGCTTATCAAACTCTTTGGTTATAGTAACTTTTGGCTATTTCACCATTTGAACTGTTTTGCTTTCATACATACAAAATATACAGGCTCTTTTACGGACTCTAAAGATGTACTCTGCCAAGAGGAGAAAATTGATGATATTGGACAATGTCAGTGGTATAATTCGACCTTCGAGGTAGGAAGTAATATCAGCTTCACAGTGAAGATAGCGTCTGAGAATTTTCTTATCTGAAAATCTTTAATGATATCTTAAGGTTAACTCTTTTGCTTGGTCCACCGAGCTCTGGGAAGACAACATTATTGATGGCTCTTGCTGGGCGCCTTAAATCAGACTTGCAGGTATAAGACTATTTGCTTCAAGAAACCTTGATCAGGATTCAGGTTGGGCTGCTTTACTTTTTTAATGGGGATTCACGATTCTCATTATTTGAACACACATCTCACTTATGTGTTGATCAATCTGAAGATGACAGGGAAAATTACTTACAACGGACATGGCCTGAATGAGTTTGTTCCTCAAAGGACATCTGCTTATGTGAATCAACAAGACTTACATGCAGCAGAAATGACAGTTAGGGAAACTCTGGACTTCTCCGCACGCTGTCAGGGTGTTGGATTCAAACATGGTAACTTATAGAAGATTATGCTTATGTATATCTAACTGCTTGTTGCTTAAGTCTAGAATCTTGTGACAGATATGCTTCTGGAACTTACAAGAAGAGAAAAAATTGCTGGAATAATACCTGATGAAGATCTTGACATCTTCATAAAGGCTAGTGTAGTCATAGAGTGTCCCTTCTGGAATTTATTAATGATTTCAAATTTTCAATGCAAAAGACATATGGAGTGATGACTTCACTTTCTTCAGGCATTGGCTTTGGAGGGCAAGGAGACTTGTCTTGCTGTTGAATACATTTTAAAGGTATTTAAATTATGTTTTCTATTGCATTATCAATCCATTTAGCTGTACAATGACAGCAGATATCTTATTCATTCTCTAGGTACAAAAATTGTGCTTCTGGATTAGTTCTTGTTACTTTTTACAAAGCACAATTTAGTAGAGCTCTCAGCATACGAAACTTTTAGCCATTGTTCTAAGATTAGCATTTATTCAATTGTTAAGTTGAATGCACAATGGCATCAAACGGATGGACCCACAATGTGAAAATTTGAAAACCTTTGTGGTTCTAGAACAATTAGAGAGATGAATACTCCATTTTTCTCATTTAGTAGGTGTTTTTCTGTGCTTATAAGCTAGTCAAAACAACTTACTCCTTGTAAGTTAGTTGGTGACATGTTTGTGCTTATAAGTTACTTATAAGTCGGAAAAAAGTAGGTCTTACACTCATACCTACTTAATTTTAAGCCAATTTTTTCATTTCTCTGTTTTGACCGGAGTGTTTACAAAACTATAACTCACCTTTCTTTAACATTCCCAAACGACTTATCTATCATATAAGTCATTTTACTTCCATGAAAGAATATTAACATATAAACAACTTATCATTTAAAAATTGCTTATCAGCAATAAGTCAATAGTAGTCCACCGAACACTTCATTGTTTGCTCATTTTGTTTAATTTCATCTTAATATTCTTGAATCCTTTCTTGTTTGTTTATTTTTACCTCTTAATACCTAGCATGTAGTTTCTAAGTATATGCACATCTGGTTTAGTAATAGTTTAATAATGTAAGTATAATAAAAACTGAAGTTTAAATAGTTTATTTTTTACTTTGTTGCAAGAATAGAAAGCATAAGGGGTACTTTGGTTCAAAAAAAAATAAAAATAGAACACATAAAATGGGACAGAGGTGTTCTTTACTAACCCATCTCTCTGAAAACAAGCCTTAATTCCATAACACCAATCCGGATGTGGTTTCCCATCATCTTCATGAAGTACTAATATTTATGTGGCAAAGATTCTAGGGCTGGACACATGTGCGGACACCCCAGTAGGTGATGAAATGCTCAAAGGAATTTCTGGAGGCCAAAAGAAACGGCTCACAACAGGTATCAACTGGTTTTTTCATCTTATAGTGGAACTTATAGTTGTTTCTGTTTTGACATGTGCTTGGTGGTTTTTTAAGGTGAATTATTAGTTGGTCCAACAAGAGCTCTGTTCATGGATGAGATTTCAACTGGGCTTGATAGTTCTACTACTTACCAAATCGTCAGATATCTTAGGCATTCAACACATGCACTAGATGGAACGACAATTATTTCACTTCTTCAACCTGCTCCAGAAACATATGAGTTATTTGATGACATTATATTATTGTCTGAAGGACAGATAGTATACCAAGGTCCACGCGAGGATGTACTTGATTTTTTCTCATATATGGGATTCCACTGTCCGGAGCGCAAAAATGTTGCGGACTTCCTTCAAGAAGTAGCTTTCTGTCCATCTGCATTTAGAATGAATTATTGTTATAGGATTGTACTCAACTCTCAAACATTGTATTTTCAGGTTGTATCAAAGAAGGACCAGCAGCAGTACTGGAGTGTGCCTGATCGCCCTTTCCGATACACTCCAGTAGGAAAATTCGCTGAAGCTTTTAGTTCATACCAGACCGGGAAGAATTTATCTGAAGAGCTGGGCATTCCTTTTGACAAACGGTATAATCATCCAGCAGCTTTATCAACTTTGAAGTTTGGAGTAAACAGGAGAGAACTTCTAAGAACAAACTTTGACTGGCAGCTGTTGTTGATGAAAAGGAACTCATTTATCTATGTGTTTAAATTTATTCAGGTCAGCTCATTATGCCGTTTGGAATATTTAATCAGCTCTTTGATACACACACACACATATAGACTACACATAAACACACATACACGACTTTAAGGGCTTTTGGAATTAAGAATTCAATACTATGTTTCTAAAAGCCTTTTCTCATTCTCCAATTATGACTGCCACGCTCCAGCTTCTTTTTGTTGCGTTGATTACCATGAGTGTCTTTTTCCGCACAACCCTTCATCGTAACACGATTGATGATGGAGGACTCTTTCTTGGGGCTCTGTACTTCTCAATGATTATCATTCTGTACAATGGATTTACTGAGGTTCCGATGCTGGTTGCTAAGCTTCCAGTGCTCTACAAGCATAGGGACTTGCACTTCTATCCTGGTTGGGCTTACACTCTTCCTTCTTGGATCTTGAGTATTCCTACATCATTGATAGAATCTGGTTTTTGGGTAGCAGTTACATATTATGTGGTTGGATATGATCCTAATATTACAAGGTAACTCAATTTATGGAATCTTCGTAGTAGTTTGATGCATCAGCTATAGCTTGATTTACAGTCTATGGATTTGTATTTAGTCATTTCTTTTTGTAATCATGCACTTATTAATGTTTCATTTATTTTGTCTACAGGTTTTTCCGGCAGTTCTTGCTATTTTTCTTTCTCCACCAAGTGTCTCTTGCCCTTTTTCGTTTAATGGCTGTACTTGGCCGCAATATGATTGTTGCAAATACATTTGGGTCTTTTGCCATGTTAGTTGTATTGGTGCTTGGAGGATACATTGTTTCAAGAGGTAAAACTGTAATACTCTTGAAATGCATTCACACACCCAACCACCTCCCTTTCCGGAGAGTGCTCAAAAACATGTTACAAGCACATTTCATGATCTTTACCTTATTTGAGACAGACAGAATACCTAGCTGGTGGATCTGGGGGTTTTGGATTTCGCCACTGATGTATGCTCAAGATGCAGCTTCTGTGAACGAATTTCTAGGTCATTCTTGGGACAAAGTATAAACTTATATTGCCAAGCTCTTTTTTGTTTTCTTCAGTCTTGAAATTTCTTTTACTTTTTTCCAAAAGGAAATTTCTTTTACTGAATTTCAGTTATATTTAAAATGGTATGGTAATGTATTTTAATACCCCCTCTGTCCTAAATTGTCTTTTTCACTTCCCTTTTTGGGATTTCCCATAAAGTTCTTCTCATATCCCATTATGGAAAAATTGTATAGTTCATATTGATTCTTCCTTTGTTAATAACTCTCGAACACAATTCAGCGCCTAAAAATCTGTGTAAAAGCAAAGGGGAAGAACATTATGGGATAGAGGGATTAATTTTAAAATTTAAATCTCGTTATTATTCACTGTATTTTTCTCATGGTTGAGTATTTTCAATAGAACTTATGTGCTTTCAGCCTCGCATGTGTAGTAGGAGGTTCTGACACCCCACCCTTCTTCCTGCAGAGATTTGGCAACAGTACTAGCTTGCATCTAGGGGAGGCAGTGTTGAAGGCGCGCAGTTTGTTCCCACAGGGCTATTGGTACTGGATTGGCCTTGGAGCATTGTTTGGATACACAATTTTGATCAACTTCTTATTCACATTTTTCCTGGCCTACCTTGACCGTAAGTAATCTCTAATTTAATCGGAGTTGTGTTGCATGAAGAAATCAAAGTCATGTGAACATTATCCCTCACAACATATTGAATTGTTCCCTTATTAACCAGCATATTCATTCCCTTTCATTTTTTAAAGCGCTTGTGACACATCAAGCTGTTATTTCTGAGGAAGGTGATCAGGATAGCAACATTGCTAGAAATGATGAAGCTGTTGTTATTCAGTTAAAAGAGTATCTGAAGTTTTCAGGCTCACTGGCTAGTAAGAACTACATTCACTGTTGTCATCACTGCATGAAGTTAAAAATATTTTGACAGATCATTCCTAACAAAACTGTTTTCTTTTTTGCAATTACGACAGGAAAGAGTTTCAAACAGAAAGGCATGGTTCTTCCTTTTCAACCTCTTTCTATGTCTTTCAGCAATATCAATTATTATGTTGATGTGCCCCTGGTACATGCATCTCTAATTTCTTATCTAAAGTTTATTTGGGCTCTTCTTTGGTTGGAATTACTTATACTTGTATATATTGCCTCAGGAACTGAAGCAACAGGGAATACTTGAAGACCGATTGCAATTGTTGGTCAATGTGACTGGAGCATTTAGACCTGGTGTGCTCACTGCATTGGTTGGTGTAAGTGGTGCTGGTAAAACAACTCTCATGGATGTGCTAGCTGGTAGAAAAACTGGTGGAATCATTGAAGGGAATGTCTATATATCTGGTCACCCCAAAAATCAAGAAACTTTTGCAAGAGTATCTGGCTACTGTGAGCAGAATGATATCCATTCTCCTTGTTTGACTGTTCTTGAATCACTACTATTCTCTGCTTGGCTACGTTTACCACCAGATGTTGATTTAGAAACTCAGAAGGTAAACTAGGAACATAATACTGTTCTATGTGCTTCAGGCATGATTTGGTATAAAGAGATGATTATGCTTTCAGGCTTTTGTTGATGAAGTAATGGAGCTTGTGGAGCTTACTCCACTGAGTGGAGCATTGGTTGGCCTACCTGGAGTTGACGGATTATCAACAGAGCAAAGGAAGCGGCTCACTATTGCTGTTGAACTGGTGGCAAACCCTTCAGTTGTATTCATGGATGAACCTACATCTGGGTTGGACGCAAGAGCTGCTGCAATTGTGATGAGGACTGTACGGAATATTGTAAACACTGGCAGAACGATTGTTTGCACAATCCATCAGCCCAGTATTGATATCTTTGAATCCTTTGATGAGGTCACCTCTCTCTCTCTATTTACCTCTCCTATAATATGCTGTTGTGCTGTATGATAACTGTAGTTAATGGTTATGATTCCATGCAGACACATGAACTTTTTTGTGTTCAAAACCTCTTATATTTTCATATTGATTTCTTGTAGCTCTTGTTAATGAAGCGGGGTGGAGAGCTCATTTATGCCGGGGAGCTTGGTCCTAAGTCTTGCAAGCTGATCGAGTATCTTGAGGTCATTGAATATGGGGCATACCTGCATGACCTAATTTTGATTTTAAATACGGAGTAATTTTTTGGCTAACATCTTGGACTTGTAAAAGTGATACCAGTTTTTTTACTGGTTAATGTAGGCAATTGACGGGGTTCCAAAAATTAGGCCTGGCTATAACCCTGCCACATGGATGTTGGAGGTTACATCATCAATAGAAGAAGCCCGACTTGGTGTTAATTTTGCAGAGATATATCGAAGATCAAATCTTTTTCAGTATGTATAACTTCTCACGCTTTCTTAACTGTGCGGTTGTCCCATATTATTTGTTCTCAAGTATCATTATGTTCTCACTCTTGTGCAGGCATAATAAACTGTTGGTTGAGAGGCTAAGCAGACCAAGCAATGATTTGAAGGATTTGAATTTCCCAAATAAGTACTCTCAATCATATTATAATCAATTTCTGACCTGTCTATGGAAGCAAAATCTGTCTTACTGGCGAAACCCACAATACACCGCAGTTCGCTTCTTCTATACGCTCATTATATCATTGATGTTGGGGACAATATGTTGGGGATTTGGTTCTAAAAGGTTTGTATCACGGGCTTATCATGACCGTAGTTCCACTTTGCACTGCTTTTTTTTGCGTCACTATCTAAATGAGCAAATTCTCTTTAGTCCTTCCATGTGCCGCCTCAATTACAAATTTTCTCTCTTTGATACAGAGACACACAGCAGGATATATTTAACGCCATGGGATCCATATATGCAGCAGTACTCTTCATTGGAGTCACAAATGCCACTGCTGTTCAACCTGTTGTCTCAGTTGAAAGATTTGTGTCGTATAGAGAGAGAGCCGCAGGGATGTATTCAGCTTTACCATTTGCATTTGCCCAGGTTCAGTCTTTTACTCCATTAACGGCACTGTAAACTATCCATCTAGAGTACTTTTTTATGTAAAAACCAATGCTTGATTTCTCCTATACAGGTTGTTATTGAGTTTCCATACGTGCTTGCGCAATCACTAATCTACTGCGCAATATTCTATTCGATGGCAGCCTTTGAATGGTCTGCGTCAAAATTCATTTGGTATATATTCTTCATGTATTTTACAATCTTGTACTTCACCTTCTACGGAATGATGACAACTGCGGTCACGCCTAATCACAATGTGGCTGCTGTCATTGCCGCTCCTTTCTATATGCTTTGGAACCTTTTCTGCGGATTAATGATACCCCACAAGGTAACCTGAAGCTTCGTTCTTTTTTTTTTTACTTTGAGTTATTTGAGTAAATATGTGCCAAGAAATATGTCTAGTAAGATGTGAAGCATTTGTGTTTGTTTTGCATTCTTAATGTAAAAAGTTGTGCAACAAATTAAAAGATCAAAATTAGCAGCTAGTTGTTCATGATCATTTGATGATCCTTCTTCTGCATGCCTTTCTTACAGAGAATACCAATATGGTGGAGATGGTATTACTGGGCAAATCCAGTTTCCTGGAGTCTTTACGGCATTGTTGCTTCCCAGTATAGCGACATCAGCAGTCTGATAAAACTACCAGACGGGATGGATTCATCAGTTCCTTTGAGACTGTTAATCAAGAACGTGTTTGGATACAGGCATGATTTCGTTGGCATTGCTGGTTTCATGGTTGTCGGCTTTTGCGTTTTATTCACTGTGATATTTGCATACGCAATCAAATCGTTCAACTTCCAAAAGAGATGAGAGATTCTATCAGCAAATGTCAACCGCTTCTGATTGGCGATACCACTTTCGAAGAAATTAGCGTAAGATTATGCATATTATGAATATACTCGTATTATATATACAGCAGTACATATATATTCGCAGCACTCATTCATATTCCATTCAATTACTCTATGGGTACGGCGTGACCGAATAATGCATGTTCAGTTTTGTAAAATCGATTTCATTTTCTTCAGTCGTAACAAACAGTTATGTATTTATCATTTTGTAAGATGATTTTTACATTCAGACAAATTTCATTTGGTTACCCCATCGGATTGGAAGGATTTCAAAAGAAATACTGTAGTAGACTCCAGGAAATAAGTAACTCAAAATGTTATGAGGATTTTAGAAGTATATATAATCCTTATTCAATTCACACTTGAAGTGCGCCTTTAAACGTTTTGTAATAATGAATAGAAATTTAAAACGTTCAATAGGAATCCATCAGTATTGCTATCAAAATACCATGAACGGACATCTTCATATCATCATATGGGTAATTTAGATTTCATGGTGGTTATCTTCAACGGTTTTAACAAGTATTTCATGGATGTCTTTAACCGATTTCAATAGATATAGAGTGAAAGACAAAATATATTGATCAACACCGCGCCTCAAAGATTGCGAATCACAATGAACGGGTTGGTGTGATGGAAAAATTAAAAATATGATATTTCTATTTTGATATAATTTCTATATGTTTTATCTCTAATTTAGTCTTTTTTCCTTTTACGGCCTTGTGTTGGCCGGGGTTGTTGTCTAGTGCATCTTCCTTTATTTTTTCTTGAGAGTGTTTAACAACTTGTGAAGTGTGTACATTGGGATGATGTAATCTTGTTTGGTGTTACATGTAATGATTGTTTGATTGTGTTTGTAGTATATGAGTGCTTGATTATGTGTGTACGGTTGAATATTTTTGGAAGATAACCCTATTTTTTTCATTCCTTGTTTTTGAATCAAACTCTCCCCAGACCCTATTGTAGTGGGATTGAACTGGATTGTTGTTGTTGTTGTTACTTGTTTTTGAACCATAGTCAATCTCGGCATTTTAAAATAGGACTGAGAGATTAGTTGTTTATTCTCCCTCTTTTTTACGTTTGAAAAGTACAATTAATAAAGTAATGAAAGGTACAAATGAAGAGTGAGTAGAGTAGGATGCGGGTATCAAGGTCAGGAGAGTAACGAAAATAGAGTGGGCTTGGAGGGCGTTGCTAGTTGGTCAGAGGGATGAAAGAATTTTGATTACCTCTAAGATTTTGGGTTACAATTTTAGAGTCTTAAGGTTAATCCGACGCAAGTTGGAAAACAGGGTCGGGATATGAATAACATGACTTATAATCTCACTATGGTCCAAAGAGTGTGTGGGAGGTGTCCCTAGTACATGCATGACCCATAAAATGGTAAAAGATGAACATTTTATTTACTAGTATTTTGACCCGTGCCATGCACGGGGTCAAACGTATGTCTTTTTTACTCTATATTAATGTTTCTTTACTGCTACTGATTAAGAAATCATACAAAATCTAATACTGAATTCAAAACTTAAATGAAGGATATAATAAATAGCATGTGCTAATGAAAAGTCTTTTAGATTCTATTTGATACACAAAATTAGAATTGAAGTGCAACACATGACCATTAACTATAATAAATTATTAATATCATTTTATAAAAGTATCACATGTTATAACCCATGCTACGAAATCGTATGTTTTACTAACTATTTTTTTATCTAAAAAATCTTCCACGTTTAAAAAAGTCAGTGTATAAAAAATCCTTCTAGTTGTCTAGTCGTTATTTTACATAAATCATGGTATCCATACTATGGAGTACAACTATTTCCTAAATAGCGATGTCAGATTGCCCCCAAAAACTTTCTGTGCATCCATAAACAATCAGATTGCCCCCAAAAACTTTCTCGTGGTCTTGGTGGTGTGCATCTTCATCAACATCGTCTGTAGGAACAGGATCAGTAACAATAACAAAAGCATCATCAGAAATACCTACCGGATGAAAAACAATTTCCTCCATCGTGAGTAACTTATTGGTACCCAGGACATTGGACCCACTTTTAATTGTTGTTTGCTACTTTTTAATTACCAGGCGTTTTTAAAATGAGTCAATTCGAAAATCGTGAGTTGATGTATAAGAAATATGAGAGAGAAGGTGTTGTTAGTCAAGAATGGGTGGACAAGGTGGTTGAGTTTGTGGAGTACTGTGAGTCAAGTCCCAATGTAGATAGGTTGGATAACAAGAAAATGCGATGTCCTTGCAAGAAATGTAAGAACATCAAGTTTTGCTCATCAAAGAATATGCTGGAGCACATTTTGCGGTTTAGATTCACACCCAATTATTTTGATTGGGTATGTCACGGGGAGAATCATGGTGACTACGTACCTCCACAACGATGTAAAGTCCCTCGTCAAGCTGATGCCTCAGATGTATCACAGGTCCCGGGTAGAGAACAGTTTGTACACATGATTTATGATGCAGTCGGCCCGACTAGGATCAACTCTGTTCTTGAAGAAGAGCCGAATTCGACAAACAAGCAATTCTTCGAAATGTTGAAAGCTGCTGATACAGATCTTTGGCCGGGGAGTTCTAAGACGTCTCAGTTGTCTGCAGTTGCGCGCTTGTTGAATATTAAGTCAGAGCATAATCTATCTGAGCGTTGTTACGACACCATATGTCAATACATCAAAGACATTCTTCCGGAGGACAACTCAATGGTGAATGACTTTTATGAAACTAAGAAGATGATTGAAGGTTTGGGTCTTCCAGTCCAAAAGATTCATTGTTGTGTTCTTGGATGCATGTTATATTGGAGAG